ATGTTAAAGAGACATCTTGGAGAAGGCATTGGGGGCAGCGCGATCCAGTCTGAGCTGAACGGATCCAACTGTGGAGGAGGTAAAAAAAACAAAACTATAACTCACAAGAGTGGAGAAAGCATACTTTTAGCACCCATTAGCTCTTTGTCTTTTTCACCTCATGAATCTGCTTGTTATGCTCCATGATATCCGCATATTGATTATGCTGCAAGATACAGCAGTTCAAGGCCTCTATCACATTCTTAATTGTGTATTTTGCGTAGACTTGATGGAGAACTTGGGGAATGTAATTCATCTTTTATTGGAAAGAGAATTCAGATAGAACTATGTTGCAGCTTTTTTTGTTATCACATGCTAAAAAAAATAACTTTCACTTATATTTTCCCTCTAGTTTATTTATAGTTTGAATAAGGAATTAAAATAAAATCCCACAAGATGGTTTAGGTTAACTGATACTACTGTTTCTTTTATCCACTAAACTTGAAAACTAGTGCTAGACCAGCTATCATTTAACTTTTAAAAGTTTCACAACCACCATAACATCTAAAGCTAACTATGTAACACAATATAACCCAGTGATACTGAATCAGATTTATATTGTATTTCTGTACTGTTGATATAAACATTTAATTTAAAAAAACAGACGTTTTCCCTGCCTTTAAGCTTCTTGCTTCTTGCAAAAAATGAGACTGTTTGCTGTTTTCAAAGTGTCTTAGTTTCAGGATGAGGAACACATTTTTACTTCAAATAGGGAATATCCTCAGTTTCTGGTTCATGTCACACTTTTTCAAGTTTCTCTACCTCTTAGTAATTAGCTAGCTTTGGTGCAATACCCTCTTTTTGAGTGATTTCACCCAGCAGCAGCCAGCGACCTCCTGCAACGACTCATGACCAGTCAGGAAATATACATTTTTCCTTACCAAATAGGAGATCGCCTACTAGAGAGAAATGATAATGTCAAATGAAAAGAAAAACTCCTCACCAAATATGCATAACATTGCAGAGGAACATCCTTGTTTTCCTCGTCGACAAAGAGTCCTCCAATGATGTATAGCTGGTTCTTCTTTGTCACCAGGCTAACGTGGTTACGTGGCACCTGCTCGGACATGGCTGCCAGGAAGCACTCGTTCTCACTGACGTCATATCCCACTGCTGCCGTGTCATTGATCATCAGGATGAAGTCACGAGCATACATGCCTTGTCTGCGATTATCATTCAGGAATCCAGGGAATGGACTGTCCTCCTCTTCACCTCCTTCCTTGCTGGCCCCCTCCTCGCCCTCATTCTTCTTGGGTTTCTCTGGCAGTTTGCCCTTGAAAGCATCCCTGATGACCTGAATCATCTTCTGAAGCTCTGGGTCAGCTTTGATCATCTCTTCAGTCTCCACTCTCTCTTTGAAGTATTTCTCAGGCAGGAGGCGGAACCGGATACAGTTAAAAGCATCCTTCAAGACCTTGAGGCGTTTCTCCCTGTCATGGCGGACCCAGGCCATGACGGCTTCAAAAACCAGTTCCTCTCTCTCAACATTCAACGAGTCTCCACCAATAATGGCAAACAGTTCATGGGCTGCGAGTTTTAGGAATTCCTCTTCCTTATAAAGGAGTTCAAAGCGTTCAGCAATGTAGTTGCGTGCTGCGATGGCGAGCCTGGGACAGCTGAGCACCAGGCCCATCCTAAAGATGGCCAAGCAGTTACCCAAGGACAGCTTCTTCTGAAGGTAGTTGACACACACAGTGAAGACAGAAGGGATCTGGAACCTGTTTGCCACAGCAATTATATCCTGAACATTGTCATCGGTGAGATCAATTTCAGCTGAGTAGAGGTACTGAATAATCATGTCCAGGATGGAAGGGTTAACATCCTCAAGGACCACCTCTTTGGTGTTCTCCACCTCCTTCCCATCTTCAGTAAAGAAAATTTCCCTGAAGTAAGGGCTGCAGGCAGCCATGATCAGCCGATGGCAGGGAAAGCTACGATCGCCTACCTTCAGGTGACAGTCCACAAACTTGTTCTCATTCAAAAGCTCTTTCAGGCCGTCCTGGAGCAGGGTGCTCTGAAACAGGCGCAGCTCCTCCTTGATGGCGTTGGGGTCCATGGTGTCAGGAGGTAAACAGTAGGAGAACAAAGGAGTTGGTGGAGAGAGGAAAGAGACAGTGGCCACAGGTCCTCTTGGCAGTCAGTGCTGGCTGGAAAAGGCAGAGCAAAGAAAAGGTTCCCTGTGTGAAGACCCTGCAATTTAATCCTGTCCCACTCTAAATATAGTTCCCTCTGCCCCCCTGAATGGTTCAGCTTCTATGGAATTTAACTGGGCCAAATCACAGTGCACCACAGGCCAGGGTTGAGCAGCTGCTGCCATAGACTGAAAGAAGCAACTGGCTGGGGATATGCCACCATGATTCAGCTCCCAGAGTGTCACAGGGTAGGTAACAGTGGAGACAATGTGGTCACATCCTACAAATAGCTTTCCTTAAGCTGGAGTCTTAGGAGATATTTACAGCAATCGCTGTCATATTCAAAATAAGTGCACCCTCTTGAAGTTGGACATATTGTTCACTGGCTTATTGAGTTTTTTTGCATTTACATTTTCAGATAATTATAGCCACTTATGTGCTTTTGTACTGAAACATACTCCAATTTCCATTGCTTCGCATTATATTATTGATATCAGATTTTGCAGATAATATAAAGTCAGTTTTAAATTGTGGCACATCTGAACCTAGGACCAAAAGATTCCCCCAACGTTATGATACCATCCTTCTCAAGTTCTTGTTTTATCATAGTAAAAAAGTAGCCTAAATCAGTAAACCTATGATAATAAAAGAAAAGCCAAAAAAATAATCCATCATCAAAGCTGAACTCAGAAACCAACAAATTATCAGTGTTTATGAAATGAGATAGTGAAGAGTGCATACAAATAGAAAATACTCACACAAGAACTTTCAGGTGGTCTTCGTTCCAAATGAACACCACCTGTGTGTAACTGTGAGTAGGTTTTTCTGTTTGATGTATTTTAACATTATAGTATTGCATCAAGTCTTGGTAGCTGGGGATCGGACCTCCAGGGCCTCCACTCCCGGCCCCTACAGTGCCTCCTGTGGGTGGTAGGCCTGCAGGAAGATGGGCCCATGTCCAGGGGTGCACATAAGTGGTCTGCAGGTGTGCATGCGCTGTCAAAATAAAAGACGCACACCAGATAAGAAGTTGCAACGCATGTTTGCGTACATTAAATTTTGTGGAGGAGGACAGACATTTGTTTAGAACACTTAAAGATGTCAAAGAAGCAAGCTCTTTTAAGCAATTACCTTGATGTTCCTCCATCTCCAAAGAAATGTCAGAAGCGCTTCTTTTGCGGTTTGGACTCCTTCTGACATTGCAACTTCTTATCTGGTGCGCGTTTTTTTTTTTTGGAAAACTTGTGCGCACCCCTGCCCATGTCCCTTTTTCGGGCTATGCCTGGCAAGCAGCACAAATGGGCTTCCTCTGAAGAGTGGCCGGGAAGTTCAGCCATCTGGGAGGGGCTCAGAGTAGAGTCACTACTCCTCCACATCAAAGTTGAGGTGGTTTGGGCATCTGACGAGGATGCCTCCTGGACACCTCCTAGGTGAGGTGTCATGTCCCACCGGGAAGAGGCCCCGGGGCAGAACCAGGACATGCTGGAGAGATTATATACCTCTTGGTGTTCCCCCAGACAACCTGGAGCAGGTAGCTGGGGAGAGGGAGGTCTGGGCTTCTCTACTTAGGCTGCTGCCCCCGCGACCCGGCCCTGGATAAGCAGAAGAAGATGGATGGAGATAGCATTAACAATTCACTTTATTATTGTTAATGCCTGCAGGAAGGCAGGCATTAACAATATTAACATTTATATTTATGCTAATATCTGAGCTCGAAGTCAAACAGAAAAATATTGACGAGAAATGAAAAGAAATGAAATTCAAAATCAATTCATGGAAATCAAATGCTAATGGATTACAGCAGACTGATACTCCACCACAAATGGGTCATTTGTAACGTGTGTTTGTGCACTTTACAGAGAACACAAAAATTTCAGGATAATAATAAGATAATGTGGCAAGTTCTTGTAAATTACTCACATGAGCAGGAGTCTATTGATATGAGTGAATTTTGCATGATGACAGCAAAAATTGTCTCTAGAAGAACTTCTTTCCACCAATCAGCATTATTCAGCACTTTCCTCGTTGGCTGTTGGTTTGTGTCAGCATGTGTGTGTGGCACTCCGCTATTGAACCTTTTAAAACACTCTTCCATTCACCAACATGATTTTAAAATGAAAACATGTATTTGATTTCCTTGGTCTTGAATGGATGGATGGTCACACCGCAGAAGTTACTACAAGATGTTAAAATGCCAATAAAAAAGGTAATTACTGGTGCGTCTGAATCAATATGAGTCTTATTCCTGTTGCCTGATAAAGTGAGGAGTGTGTAGAGTTAGGTAACATTTCTCCCGTGGGCAGCGCTAAAGATAGATCACACTATGGCACTTGTCGAGGAGTGTCTAATGTAATTTAAGGAGAAGGATAGAGCTGACTCTGCCACTTCCCTAAAGCCACAGGAGGTTAATTATGCACACTTACACCATATTGAAATCACATTTAAGTAGCCATTTGTCCAGGGTATTAAGGGACTGTATAAAAATTACTGTTGGGGTAAGTGGATCAAAATTAAATTATATTTTACTCTGACTGGCCCCTTATTCTCATTGGGTGCTTACTTGTTTTATAAAAGATGGAGTTGTTTCGGTCGGTCACCCACCACCCAGCCTTTGTAACCTGGCACACAAAGCATGCCCAGGTTGAAGACATGAGTGTACTGGCATTTCAATATATAACCGATTACAGAGAGGAGAATGTTGCAACAGCTTGGAAAGATGAAAAACCCTTAGCAATAACTTAGAAGAAGTTTAAACAGGAAGCTATTTATATTCTGCACCAGCGCCAATGCAGAGGTTATTTCCCTACGATCGTGTATTGTCAGAAGAATATTGCCCAGATTCTGGCGTTTTTCAACACAAATATAAATGGTTACATGGCTGCGGTAATAATAGAGCCAGCAGTGATCACAAACAAAGTTTTACCCTTTTCAAATGAGGCATCCCAACTGTGGAGATGATTTGACTGTGAAACCAATGGACATCACCCACTCTTGGTACATTACCTGATTTACTCTCCTTTCTGACCAATGCTGACCACTATTTACAAAAATAATTTCATGTTGTATTTAATGTGACTTAACATAATTGATGGAGCTCATAAAGTCATCATGAAAATAGTCACAGAGCATTCCATCTTTTATATTCAGTCTATGAAAGCCTATGTTAATGTTCATATCTGAACCATTAACCATCAAGAACCATGAACTGCTACGCTAAAAGCAATTTGGTTTTATTATGAGCCTTGATGAACCGTTGAATCGACGCACTGATAACATGAAACATGTGCCAAACTTTAAACATCCTCAGTCAAAATGTTTCTCCTAATAATGTTAATAAATACTACAAATGCCGATGTTAGGACACTTTTTATATGATCGATTTTGGGATTTTTAGGAAGGCTTAAATAAAATATAGACATTGGAAAAGAATAAAAGTCAGCTTTATTTTAGAAAAAATACCCCCATACTCCAAATCATGTTCATACAATAACGTTGGTGCATTTTACACATATTACTTTAGAACTGATTTATCAAAAATGTTTGATATTAAATGATGACCATGTAGCACTTAGTACAGTATGTATGAATGCAGTCAGTATAGCCTAGCAACAAAGACGGGGTGTTCAACAGTAGGTTTTCTGCTCATACAGCAGACGTCAGTTATGACATTAACACTTGTTACCCAGTAGAGGGCAGTGTGTGTGAGTACACATGTATGCATGTATTTCTATTATTGTTACAGCTTGTGAAGTGAAACAGTGTAAACATTTTTCATTCAGTAAATCTAAGAAAAAACACATTCAAATGCTCAGAAAGATTCCATAAAGTTAGGAATCATATATATGAAAAGAAAAAAAAACTATATTTGATCGATACAAGGGATGAGAAACTTCATCTCTACTGTGTGTTTTTAGTTTTTTGTGAATATGCACTAATAGACCTCAGAGTGATTGAGTAAGGAAATTAAATCTATATGGCAAGTCATGAAGCACTGGAGTTATTAGTTATAGTCCATCTTTTCAACACATTTGCAGCACTCAGGCTTTGTATGAAAAAAATGATCTGTGGGTATGTCAAGTCCTCTGGAACTCCTAACACGCTACGAGCCAGCCCTCATCTGTATTCCTGAGAGAAGACGGATGATCTCCTGCCCTATCTATCCATGCTACGTTCCTTTTTTTCACTGTAATTACAAGAGATCCTGGAGGAAGAGGCAAAAATGTGGAGATGATACAGAACATCAGTGTACATGTATATGCCTGAGAATTATGCTAAAACTTCACATAACCCTGTGAAAAATGGCTGGTCATAGCTGCCCCTCCTCGAAATGTAGGCAGATGTGTGACGGATGCCCTCACTCAGCCACCTGGAAAAAATATATATGAGAAAGTCAATACTCCCAAACATTTGGATCGAAGCAGAGTGTCGAAGCCTCAATAATTCAGTCATGAAAAAGGCAAATAAAGCATCAAGGTGTGAAAGACATAAAAGACAAAAATATGGCTGACATAAATCATGAGAGCATACCAGTTGATCTGACTTCCACACATGTCCTCTTGCACTCGTCCTCTGTGTCAAATCGATTTTTGTTGCCATTGCAGCCTCCGTACCAGAACTGGGCGCACGCGTTTGCTTGTTTGTCATAGTACCAGCGGATGCTGTAGTCCCTGCACGTGCCTTGGTCCAGAACCAAGCCACAGCGGGGGTCCAAGGGGACAGTCTCTGCAGGAGAAGATGTCATATGAATGAGAGAACTCGTTTCCACCTAATCTAACCTCAGAGTGGCCCTTTCTGCTCTGTTTCTTCACCATGCTGTCAGAAAAGAGCAGATTCCACAAAATCAGCCACACTGCATCAAAAATAATTGGCTTCCCTGTTCTTCACCTTGCTGCGCACACAGCAGAAAGGCCACATCAACGAAAGCTGCTCCCTTTCTGCTGCCTGTACTCAATGCACACTGGACTGGAACTCCAATGGAGCTTCATCTACTCCATCAGGTGTCATCACACCACATTTGCAGCCATCTCAAATCTGAGATTGCTGACTATTCGTTTAATGCCCCAGTGTCACTATCCCTTATCAGCACTATACTATACTGCTATCAGCACTATACAGACAAAAATATAACAGGGTGCAAAACACAGAAAACATTTAAACATGAACAGATTATTATGTACCACCCCCACACTGAAGGCAGAGGTTTGGATTTCAGTAATTATCTGATATCATAACTAATTTTCTGTGCCATTATTCATTTCGGTTGTTGACATTAACATTTGTTTGCAAGTTGTTACAAAAAATATTCATGTCACAAAAAAATACTGTGGCCATGAGGTGGCGTATCATTTTAGGTCCATTGGCCTATTTTAAGTAACTCTGAAAGCTGCCATTAGTCCAAAGTTATTAAAAGATAAAGAATTTTCCTATTATGTGATAAATAAAGTATTATCCTCCTCTCGTGTCCTTAATTAAGGATATTATACATTTAGAAAAAAAATAGTTTAGTTATAGTGTGACATATCATTTTAACATGTCAACTAGCTAGCTAACTTATTGCTAACCTTTAGCTCTATTTAACCTTGTAAATATACTGCATTGATTGTAACACCCTGGGCCACAGTCACACTGAGAGTCACACTTTATTGGACTTTTCCAGAAGAATTGAAACAGCTGCAAAGGTTTGGCCAATGTCTTTATCCTGTCTTCCTTCTCTCACCCCAGTCAGGCGCAGCAGATGGCCCCGCCCCTCCCTGAGCCTGTTTCTGCTGGAGGCTTCTTCCTGTTAAAAGGGAGTTTTTCCTTCCCACTGTCGCCAAATCACTTGCTCATAGGGGATCATATGATTGTTGGGTTTTTCTCTGCATGTATTATTGTAGGGTCTACCTTGAGGCGACTGTTGTTGTGATTTGGCGTTGTATAAATAAAACTGAATTAAATGTCATATTAAACCCTATTGTTTATGGATGGGATATCAATCGAGTTCATATGTATGTGAGGTCTTTGCAGTGAGGGAATTTATTTATTTTGGATCTCTGTAATAAAAATAATTTTGCTAATAAGAAAGGTAGAAAAGTAGAGCAGAGTATTGGACTTCATATACCTTTGGGAAGAACTGGCCTTGGTACAGGTACATACTGTACAGAAACACCGGAGGATGTTGTACTTATGCTTGTGGATGAAGATGATGATGATGAAGAGTGTTCCCTGGATGGAGAGAGATGTTTGTCTGAGGTGCTGTGGGTAAATGTGTCCCCACGCTGCACCCCTCCTTCCTATTGAGGAAAAAAAACAGAAACCAGTTGTTAGAATAATAAATGTGTGTAATGTACATATAAAGATGTATTCTTGTTTTCATACATGTACTCTGTTGGATCCTTTAATCTCATGCTGGGTGGTCTCTATCATTCCTCCATGGCTGTGTGTGCTGGTACCAGTGCTGATACCAGTCTGACGTCCATTCTCTACTTCCGGTTGGGTCACAGGCCTGTACCCATAGCCACCAGTAGCATACTTTCCATTGATTAAATTTTTGTTCCCATTATAACCATTGTTTCCATAGCCGTTGTAGCCATTAGTTATTCTGTTATATATTAGGGCTCCATTCTCATCTTCACAGAACTGGCTGACCAGCTTGGATTCGAGGGCTGTGACACAAAGACACAGAAGTTAGGGACTAGGAAAAAAGATTTAATTAATTAATGTTTTGTCACTATTCGCTCCCCAGACATAGCCTAAAAGATTTTTTTAGGAATTATTTTCTGTTAAATTTCTCAAAAACTATCAGATGGCTTTGCATTAATTTGGTACACAAACAAACATACAGGTCATATGCAGAGGTGGAATACTAATATACTTCATTTAGTGCCAGTAACAGATAAAACTTAAAAAATAAACATTCCTATCGCCCATGCCTTTATAAAGCTTTGCCTTCTGCTAATTAGCAGATTCCGGGTCGTGAACACACTACATTCATTATAATAATGCCTACTTTTGCTCCAGTAACGTGCAAAGCTACAGTGAAACCGAACTGCCTAAGTGTGCAAAAGTACAGTAGCTGGCTGGTTTAGGTTAAGCTCTTCAGAAGTGTTATTGAAGATGCATAATCCATTGTTTCTTCAAATTGTCATTCACATCAACATAGAAGATCAGAACACTAATGAGATTTGAAACCACTATGAAGTTATTCTGCCTAGATTAAATAATAATGAGTATATGTGACTTGTAACTATAGGGCACATAAACGTGAGCTAAATAGGTGTCTAAAATAGCTTGTATAAGATATAAGTTAAGATATGATTTTTTTTAATAATATAACACAAAATTGTAGATTTCAAGTCACACAAGCACTTCACTCTTAAAATATAAATGGATCCATATAAAAATGGAAAAATCTATTTTTAAAAAATTGGTTCACTAGAGGCGGGAATCACCAGGCAACTCACAATACGACATCCCTAAGGTAATCCTGGGGACATTTTGTGCCATTACGGGTTTTTTTTCATGCTATTTTGGCTGTGCTGAATGAATACAACTAATTTGCCAGAGGATATTATTTTATTTTAATTTTAGGATTCTTGTCTCAGTTCCTTAGGGATATTATCACAATACTTCAGTCGATTCTCCACATTTTGTGAAGAATGCTTTATTACAGTTAGCTGTAATAAATCACCGAAAATCACATTTATGTTGCTTTTTACAAAGACATCATTCCTGTTCTATAGGAATATAATCAGAATACAATCAGCAAGCAGCTCAACTCATTAACAAAGACTCATATTAAGTGTAAGTAAAGAAAATGCCTCTTACCTGGCAGGGTGTTGAAGTCATCAATGAGGAACATGTGCTCCGTGTCTGGATCAGATGCGATTAGATTCAGTTCTTTCAGGAATTCGGCCTGCGTTGAGTCTGAGGTGTTAACGATCCCCAGGGCAAACATCTCAATATTGGCAGCGTGTGCTTCTCGCACAGCTATATCCAGCTTCACTGGTTCTCGCTTGTCGGTTTGCCCATCAGTAATCACGATGGCCACTTTGCTTACTCCCAAACGTGAACTATGGAAGACCTCCTGCGTAGCCTTGCGGATAGCTGTACCAGTGTAGGTGCCCTCTCCCATATATGGGATGTTTCTGATTGCATTCTTGACATCCTGTTTGGTGATATAGCGGGCCAAGTTGAATACAGTTCTCACCTCCAGGCTGTACAGGACCAGGCCAATCCTGGTGGCGTTTCGGCCCACTGTTACCCGGTCCACTAATGCATTCACAAAGTCCTTGATGATTTCAAAGTTCTCAGGCCCCACACTCTCTGAGCTGTCAATGACAAACACCAGCTCCATAGGCCTCTCCTTACACTTGATCCCACATCCTAGAATCACATCACATCAACATATGAGATCATGGCGGAAATGTCACATTGATGAGTTCCAGTCTGTGGAACTGGATCCAGCACTTTACAGATCAGATGACACAGTGGCTTTCATTGAGAAATTAAATCTACTACAATATTTATGCTATCAAAAGATATTTTACCACAGATCTCTTTGATCAATCGAATGACGTCTTCTCTCTGCAATGAATACACAATATAAGCATATGGATAATCACAAAAAATAAAACGATACAGATATGAACACATGACACTCACAGTGAGGCCAGCTTCACCTTTGGCACCGACTCGGCCCTAGGACCAAAAATATTAAAAAAACGTTTATTCACAAGGTGTCAGTGTTTCTGCAAATCTTCCAGTTTCATGTGGCAGACAAATGTCAGCAGCGATAACAAGCAGCATAGGAGCAGGTTCAGGGGTTGGAGCCCTCTCCCCAGCCATCACAAAACAGAACACAACAAACTGAGACATGAAGGAATCATTAGCGTCACTCACAGGTTGCCCTGGGGTTCCAGGGTCTCCTACATTTCCTTTGATCCCCTTCAGCCCCCTCTCCCCTGTCAAACCTCGATCACCCTGTTGCACACCACATTGCAAAACATCAGAACTCAAAGAATTTCAAATGCTCCGCACATTCAGTCCCGGGCAACACAGTAACTGACTTTAGCTCCAGGAAAGCCTTCTCCAGGTATTCCTCTTGGTCCTACCACACCTTGGGCCCCCTGTTCACCCTGAATCAAACACACAAGGCAGTTGTGTTACAGCTTGTGATAGATACTTACAGATTTAGGTAGTACACAGAGCCCTGGATGTCTGGATATTTTATAGATATGTGAATGTCTATCAAGGACAATAAATCACAGCCTACCTTTGGCCCTTGAACTCCTTGCCCTTGAGGACCTGTTGGCCCAGGTGGACCAGGTCTCCCAGGGTTACCCTGCAAGTCAAAACATGTTGCTTGTATAACTACAGCTCAAGGTCAGTTACAAAAAATGGCTACAATGTGACAAAAAACCAGATTTGTAATTTATAAAAGAAATATTTGTTGCAGCCATACAAATGGCACAGTTACTGGGGTCAAGGCAGCAGACCTGCTGACCTACTGTTCACATAATTACACAGGCTCCACCTGTGGGGAGGTGTAGGCAGGGAGACACCTGTCAGGTGTTGGCTATTAAAAAAGCCAGGAACAATACTCTATTACTTAAGCCTTTTGCTGTAGTCATGACTGAATGTCAACTAGTCATGACTACAGCAAATTCAAGTCACGTGCAGCTACCAGTTATCATCAAACTCCAAAGTGAATGCAGTAATGTGTTTTCTCTTGTCTGTGTGTTCAGTATTAAAGCTTCAAAGTTGGCAAAATATCCTCATTTTTTCTTGAATGCTTAAAAAAAAAGAAAATTAGTAAAATAAGATTACTGATTTTGATTAGAAAACAGCCAAAACTCAACCTTGCACATGCATGTGTGACATCTGTGCACTCCTCTACTTTGAATGCTTAGTTGTCTGCATGCTGCTATGACAACTCAATTTCTGGGCTGCAGTGCATCTGTGAAAACAGCTGAATCCAAGAAATTATCTGATGTCATGACCTACTAAAAATTTTGACTGTAATACGTTTCCTGTTTGGGTTGACTTCATAATGTGAGAAAAGGCAATAGCAGCTATATATATCACATGTGCAATTAATAACTCAACCCAACAAAAAATTACTTTATCTATAAGAGTATGAAACACACTTTGTATTCTTGTAATAAAGAGCAGCAACTTCAAGGTTACCAGTGTTGTTGTGAATGTTTCACATCACCATTTTCTCAGCACGGACAAGAGCTGACAAGTGTCAGTGTGCTCTGCTTTCCCATTTTTTCCTATTATTTACATCTTCAATTAAAACCTGCCTACTGCTGCATGACTTTGACAGAGCTCAGACCTGCACAGACACTGACCTGAAACCTGTGGGGAATCTGGATATGATATGTGAGGACGTGCAGGGTGCCGGGTGTTCTTTTAGTAAGGCCTGTTAGGCCAAGTGTTTCTCATCAGACACATATGTCTGTGGAGATTCACACCCTGCACCCATGTGTCACAGTGCTGTTGGAAAAATCACGATAACTGCCACCAAAAATGAACAAGCAGCCCAGTTGTGGGCATGTTTGCACAGAAGATAATGCACTGTGGGTTTCTTTTTTCAATCTGTTATTCTTCAGAGAATGTAACTCAGTCACAACCATCTGGCAGTACTTAGGAGAAATTTGAAAAAGGCTCCTCTCAAGTAAACACCTTAGAATGTTGTCCTCGACTCATGTTCCCATAAAACAAATAAAAAAACAAATAAAAATGAATAATATAATAATATTTCTGATTACAAAACAGGTAAAAGGGAGTTGCTTAAAACAGAAGAGGTTAAAGATTTGAAAAATGTAAAGGTTTTAAATTTACCAGAGGTCCTGGGAGGCCTTCACCTGGAGGTCCTGGTAAACCAGGCAACCCTCGAAATCCAATATCGCCCTGCAAAGATGGATGCACAGCAAAGATAGATGAACACTGACAGCACAGCAATTTACAATCTGTCAAACAAACTTGTGCACTGACTAAAATCTTGTTTCCCTTAATTAGCTTCCCTAAACAAATGACCGAATCTTTCAATGGTGAGATAATCTCACTTATCTTCAGTGCGGATTCAAACACAACTTGGAAATTCATCTTACCAGGACTTGACAATGGCTTTGGCTCAATATTTAAATTCTGACCTCACAGAAAGAACCATCTGTGTCATATAAGGTTTACATCCTACAAGATTTTTGAAACATGGGACATTTTTGATTGAATTTTGCATTCAAACAAATAATGAATTCCATAATGTTTATAAACAGTGACTAACTATCATCACAATACTGTATGACAGATCCAGGAGCTTTGCAGACCGCATGTCTACATGTTATAATTGTTTACTGAACCTGCGGGAAGCGTCACAAACAGCAACAACTGTTAATGTGGGCTTCTCTTATTCATGTTTGTGCTGTTGCTGGTCCTTTAGCATAGTTCCTATGTTTTTCCTTCCCAGTGTTGCCAAGTGTGTGCTGATAGGGTATTGTCTTAATGTTGGGGTTTTTCTGCAGTACTGTTTCGTCATTACCTTACACTTTTAAGCACATCAACTGTTGTTGTAATTTGGTGCTATATAAATAAAATTGATTTGAAAATGGAACTGAATTGATTTCATATAGCTTTAGTGTGTAGACATATTTTTCAAATGACTATGTAGACCTGCAAATTACCAACACATCACTATACTGGAACCTTTGTACAAACCACAAAGTCTGCTGGAAAGTGTGGAAACCTACTGTAACCTTACTATAATTCTCAACGTTTTTTAAACAAAGACCCAACCTTACACTGACATTTGAAAGAAATGCACGCTAGAAAGTTCCATCTTATGGATCCACATTCTCACCTTCGGTCCAGGAACGCCCACTCCCTCCGGCCCAGGTTCTCCTGGAAGTCCAGGCAGCCCAGGAGGACCCTGAAAATGCAAAAAGCTGACTTAAGTATGGATTTCCAGAAAGAAGTGTAAGTTAATATTGTACTCTGAGTATAATACTTGAAATTGAATAAGAAATTGTCTGACTTTTATAAAATAATGCAATAAAACAGGATTTAATGTGTAAAAATTGGAACAATCCCCACAGGGGGATTTTGTTACCTTTGGACAGCACCAGGTTAGCTGCTTCTCATTGCTCCTGGACTTTATGCTAAGCTAAGCAAAGCTAAGCATCTGGTTTACAGACCAAACAGTTGGTATCAGTCTTCATATCCAACCCTCAATGAGAAAGTAAAATATAGTAAGTGATTTTTTTCTTATTTTTTTTAAGGCACCACCTTTATTCTTAATGCCCTTAATGCAAATCATGTTCATTTCATCTCCCTCTGGTTTAAGTTAAAGGAAACATACTCAGGATATATGAAAGGGCCACCTACTGTAAAGTTGGGTAATAAATGTCTCACTGATTGATAGAGGGTTGGAACTGAGCGGCAGTATAAGAGAGGCAAATGCTAGATGGATGGAGGACTAGATATAGTATGCAGATGAAAGGTATGGCTGTACAGATTTATGAGGAGACATATGTCATTGTCTAAATCAGCTTCTCACCATGGGGCCAGGATAGCCGTCTCCTTTGGGACCAAATGGGCCTGGAGGGCCTCGATCTCCTCGGTCACCCTACAGGAGGCAGATACATAGGTATCAATAATTCATTCATACAAAGGATACAAAGAGATTTATAGACTTGCAAAACAAACTAAAGTGGAATATGCACATTAATGGACACATATGCTCCTTTGCTTGGTCCCTTATATTAACCCTCTCAAGGCAGGCGTTGCAGATTTGCAACAAGTAAAAGCTAACAACCTGATTACGACACATACATATTTTATGAGGTTTTTTTTTTGTTTTTTTTACCACTGCAGGTATTCTTTTGTGCATTAGCAACAAAAACTTAATTTGAGCCTGAGAGGGTTAAGTATTGAGCAAAACATAAAAACAGGTTGTAGCATTTTATTAGCTGAGATTTTCAGCAAATGTTAGCATATGGAAAGCATGACAGGATGTACAGTTGTGCTTCCCATCCTAATTTTTGACATATTCTCTGTTCTTTCTAGATGGACTGTAAATGGCCTTGATGATGAAAGCACAAACATGTGTTTCCTGATCTGCCTCTCGTTACTTGTTTGATTATTGATTCTTTTCCAGATTTGGACGCACTCAGCACATGTTTAAATGTGTTTGTTCGAAAATCTGACTCATGCTTGTTTCTACAGGCAGACACCCAATAGAAATGCAATACATATTTATATGTGTATTTCTTTTTCAACCAGAGAATAATAATATCAGTTTTACCTTAGGACCAGGAAGTCCATAGCCAGTCTCCCCAACTGGACCAGGAGGGCCATTTGGACCAGGATCACCCTACAACACATTTTTAGTAACAAAGCTGCCCTTAGTACAGAAGGTTGTACATAGATGTGCAACATGGATGTTGTACATCTAATATAAAAAGGTTAACTTTAATAGACACTATATATACAATATAAAATGTAGAACATTTTAGGACTGTGCTGTTGCTACTTAGAAGCAAATTAAAGACTTCTACCACTGATAATATTGTTTAATAATGGGTTAATGCTACGAACTAAACATACTAATTCAATTCAATAATGTAGTATGTATGTAGTACAATAACGATAATGCCAACAACAAGTTTACGCGCATCAGGAGAATCAATGTTTCTTTCTACAAAGAGTCTTGGAACAACCTAAAATAACTACCACATATTTTGTGAAAATGTGAAGAAAACATGACGAATCTCCGCAGTCTTACACTGATGGCTCAGTAAAACTGAATCTGTTACCTTGGGTCCAGTGATGAAGCGTCCTGGAGGACCAGGCAAACCCAGCCTGCCTTGCGCTCCTGGTTCTCCCTGACAAAGTTTATTGTATGCAAACTGGTTAAGACCAAAAACGTACAGAGGATATTTTCTCATTATCTCTTTCCAGGTAAATGTTAATGATGGCCTAATGATTGCTCACCTTTGGTCCTGAGGGTCCAGCAATGCCTGGCGGCCCAGTCAAGCCTCTGATTCCTCTTTGGCCTTGGTCACCCTTGAAGGTCACATCAGGAATATACTCACTGGTCTGACTTACTTACTGACTCGCAGGAAAATGAAATATGGAATATTACTTTTTTACCTTTTCACCTTGGATACCAATTCCAGGAGCGCCATCTGGCCCTCTTAGGCCAATAGCTCCGGGCTCGCCCTAAAGACACACATGCATCTAAGTATTTGGCCCCCTTCCTGTTTTTTTTAAATGTTATACCTATTTGTCATACTTACATGTTTTACATCATCAAACAAAATGTAATAATAGATTTTGCTAACCTGGTTGTAACACCCTTGTTAGTAAGAACTGCAATTCAGCAACTGGCAATTGCTGAATTGCAGTTCTTCAGAGTCTTTCATATCAATGCAGAAGAATCTTGGCTCACTCTTTGGACAAACGTTTTAAGTGGAGACTTTTCAAAAACCCAAAACCTTTATTTGGTTGTTTTTGAGTGATTCAGAGTAAGCCAAGTGGGCTTGAGCTTCAGGATATGAACTGATGGCTGGACATTCTCTTCAGGATTTTCTCACAGATAGCAGGCAAGTTGTCCAGGTCCTTAAACAGCAAAGCCCCAGACAATCATACTACCATTGTTCATAAAGGAGCTCAATGTGGTTTGCTTGAGTCCTAAAGCCTTAGAAATGGATATATAATCCTTCTGCTGCATTGGTTCTTGAGACCTTTTAGCCTACTTCACTTGATCAGGCACGTTTTACTTAAGTGATTTTTTGATACAACAGAAAGTTGAATTACCATGTACAGCGAGATAGATTTGGATAGCTTTTTCCCTTAATAAATAAAATGATCATTTAAAAACTCCATTTTGCATTTGCTCAGGCTAAAAAAATCTTCAAACTACCTTCTGTCCAGGGGCCCCATCCTCCCCTGGAAGCCCAGGCAAACCTGGCATTCCTGATGATCCTGGTTCACCCTGAGGACAGATTGGAGGCTCTGCATGAGTTTATGGAGGGAATGTTTAATACTTTAAATAATGTATACTGATAACTGCTGCTGATGTGGGTTTTTACCAAATGGTTTCAACTCACCTTAGCTCCAGGGTCTCCAGCCCCTCTCTCCCCTGGAGCACCAATTTCACCTGGAAACCCTTGGTCTCCCTGTGTTAGGCAATAACATCTTCACATCTTGTCGTAATTACTAAAACACTTACACCAGTATTGTTAATATTTGCTAAGTGGACTATTACCAGAGAGCCACGTATTTTTTAAGAAAATATACTTGCTGGCATTATTTTGTACAGGCCTGGTCACACCAGCGTTTATGCTGAGACACCAGGAAGACTTGCAATGAAAGTTTACATAACAGCTTAAAATACAGGACGGACTGAGTACCTGGTCAGTTTAGCATTCAATTTACTTTTATTTAACATCCTCACCCAGTTGTCCACTTGATAATCTGTGTGGATATATCGCTCCAATTGCAGGTTAACCTTTAATTTCTGTCTTCAATGCTGAGAGCAGAACACGTACAATAGAGATAAATGTGACTAAAAGCATCAGCCTTGCTTGGTTGGCTATCAAATCATTAATCAGTTTGCCAGATCCTGCAGTTTAAGTCATCATTGCTAAGCATTATACCACTTAACTATGTAACGTTTCAGGGTCATATGATCCCGTTCCAACTATAAGCTCTGTGGCTTCCACATAGAGATCCTGACCCCTTGTTATTACCACTAAGATTTTGAGCATATGTACAAACCTTGGGCCCAGGCATGCCTTCTCCTGGTGGACCTCTGCTTCCCGGTGGCCCCCTTGGACCCTCTATGCCCTGCAGGTATGAATAAATGCAGTAATTAAAAGAAGCCTGAATGGAATCTGTAAACAGGGAGTGTTTTTGCTGAAGGCAGAGTAATTAGAATTTTTTCTGGGACATCAGAAGGAGGCGAACTTTTCTTCTAACACAAAATTTAAATGATTTCATTGGTTCAGTGCAAAATATGTTTCTGGTTTAAACACATATTAAAATTAAAAACAGTTTAGCATGAAAAGTTTTTCTTCTTCCAGTAGGCTGGTTTATTATTTTCTATAATCGGGTGATTAATGGAGACTTTTTCAGTCCTATTTTGAAGCCTTTTCTTTAAATAAATTCAGCTGTACAGAAAGCCCTGTGTGAGAGCACACCTGTCTCCCTCTCTTCCACAAGTGAGTGAATGGTGAACTAGAACCAGACCTGTTCTGATAGCAAAGAGCTGATGTTTTGATGACAGTGAAAAGCGCTTTGGCTAAGCTGTCAGCAGCCAACAGTTTCCACTAGTCTCCACTAGCTGTTGTTATTGTGTCAGAGCGTGAATTTTTATGCCCTTCTGCATCATGTTGTTTAAATTATGATTGTTGATCAAAAGCTTGTATTAATAAAGCAACACCTGATCTCATGTAATCATAATTTCGGTCATTTGTTATCAAAGAATAGGGAAAAAGTAGCTCAAAGCAGATGCTTCTTTACTAAAATATCTTAAGTGGCAGCAATAACTTTTTATTTATTAGTAGGTCTGCAAAAAAAAAATACTGATGCTAGCAGCTTGAAGGTGTTTTATTTTGGCACGGGCATGATTTAAGCTAAATGCTAATGTCAGATTGACCTGTTCTCAACGAACGTGCTACAATGAAGATCTTGGCAGAATTATTGTTTACTGTGGTCAGTATTGGGGAGTTACAGAATACATGTACAGGCGTTACATATTTAAAATACAAAATATGAGTAACTGTATTCTGTTACAGTTACCGCTTAAATAGATGATAATTAGAATACAGTTACTTTGGTGGAATAACTGGATTACAAAGCAGTTTTTTCCTGTTTCATATGTTAGGTTATCCCCTCTCTAATTTTGGTAATTCTGTCCTATCAAGCTCTCCTACTTGTTGTTACTGACAGTTTATTACAGTTTATTCTTGTTTTCCTCAAGCTGTTGTCAATTTGTTAACTTTTCAAGCTAACATGCGTTTTTTTTGTGTGTGTGTGTGCAAAAATACTCCAATTTGGAGTCTCAATTGAAGTCATATTCCAAGTCTTGATTTAGTACTTCTAAACTTCTGTAAACTGGCATACAGTGTAAACC